TAAAGTTCGCATCTGCCTTTCGGAGTTAAACTTTGATGTGTAAATTTGACGGTCGGTTGATTAACGCTCAGTAGACTGGTGTCAAAATTGTGGGTAAATTAACTGAAGATCATTGTAATGTTCCAGTTCAAAGACACTTTATATAATTGAGTGAAGGTATACTGAAAATTTATGTCCAGATGTTGTAGTAATGACTTGTAAACCCAGTTGATTTCAATCAACTATCTGAAAGTTACGGCACCATGAATATTTTGGACACGTTTTCGAATAATAACTAATAACAAATTTTGAGGTAAAATTACGCAAGAAATTAAATACATTCACGAAGACAGTTCATCATAGTTATTCAGTGAAGCGAGAGTGATACTACTTGTGTTTTTCAAAAATTATGCCGAATGTGGAAATTACCATTGAAATGTAAATATTATAAATATTGAATAATCTTTCGTTTCTAAAAAAGGCTAAGAAAATTTATCATTGTAAATTTAAAGAATCTCGGGTCATGCTAACGAATAAAATAATAAATCAAATTCAAAATAATTTTGACAATAAAATCTTCAACTTTTCTTGTCCACCCCTATCCATACCATTTACAAAAGGGTCATCTAAATCGGTGATTTTCAACTTTTTTGCATCGCGGAACACTTTTTTTCATTTCAAATTGTGGCGGCACATCAAATGAACAAATTGCAAAATGAACTGTATGCAATTACCTGACATTCATTATTTTAGCAACAATATAAATTAAAGAAAACAGCAATAGTTCGCTGGTGTTTCAAAAATGTCCTACGTAACGCATTTATTCCATACGTAACCAACTTATTCTATACTTGTTAGGATACACGTCGACATATTATCAGACTAACAAGTTTTTATTAGACAACAAATGTTGATGAATTGTATAACAATGAATCATATGAAGAATAAGTTTTGTGAAAATTGGCGTATAGATAAACTATACCCATTTTAGCTAAATATTGTAATTACTATATTAAAGAAACATATATCATGAAACTTGTTACGTACGTTCAGGAATATTAACTAATAATAGTTATTTAAGTAAAATTGCCAACGAAATTAGATACAGCAATAAAAACATTCCATCTTGCCTATTCAGATAGGAGAAAGTGACACATACTACTTTTGTTTTTCAAAATTTTGGTGAGTGTGCAAACTACCACGAAAATGTAAAAATTATAAATATTTAATAACTTTTCTTTTCTAAAAGTTGAGAAAAATCAACCTTCAAAAATTTGGAGAATCTGAGGTTATATTATAAAATAAAACAATAAATCAAATTCAGCAGAATACATGAAGTTCAACTTTTTAGACAGTTCTTGTTTTGTCTTCTTGTTGTCAATCCCAAAACGTATATATATATTTTTTATTGAGGTTTTTATAAACTAAAACAATGTTGCAATAAAAAATATTTATCAATAACAATAGTTCATCATGATAAACACATATTGCATTATTACACTGATTATATTACAAGAATTCTCCATTTTTTGTTATATTTGACATTTTTCCTTTTATAAACATCCATTTCCTTTTTGTAATCATCCATTGGTTCAACTGTTCCCAGAATATTGATGAATAATTACATTAAAAAAAAAGATGATTGATGTTCTCAACAGATACATTGCAAAAAGCACATAAATTCGAAGGCACTAAATTAAAACCATATAAAACAATATTTCGGGCAATTGCCTTGTGGAATAGTTTAATATAAAGGACCGGAGTTTTGTCTCAATGGTGCAAAAATAAACATTAGTATAGCATTTATTCCAATTAATATTGTAATGTACATTTAAATCAATAATCCACATTTCTTCTACTTTTATTGGTGGCATAAACTGTTTTTTGTTCAACTGACGATATATTTTAATGCTAAATTTTTCACACAAATTAAAATAGGTGAATAAATCATTGTCATTAACTAAATGTTACAGTTTAAAACTTTTTTTTATATAACATGATTGTAATAAAAATGGCTTTCTTCCATAAACAATTTTTTATTACCATTTTTAGTACCATAGTGGATGATTATGATAGTTTAATATTATATAATTAAACAAAGTTTCTTTACAATAATATCAGTTTTTTAAAACATTTGAGTACTTTTCATAAAAAAGGAGTTTCAATTCAAATCCCTTTTTATCACCTAAATAACATAATTCACTCTTCTTCCATGGGGGATTCCTATAATCCGTAAATTATAATTGTAAATTATATGATTGACAGATTTCAAAAATGTATGTGATGGCAAGTCGTCCACTAGCAATACACTACAAAAAATTCAAAAGTTGCGAAAGGACAAAACATTTGACTACGCAAATTTTTCCAGGCAAAGTTAGGGTTCTCATCTCAAATTTTAAGAATGTTTTGAATTTTATCGAATATTTGTGGGAAATATTTCTCAAACAACAGTTTATAAGAAGTAAGGACAGTTCCGTAGATTTTTTTTATGAAAACCGTATACCTAAGCGAGGCAACGCTAGTCAATGGACGCCATCTTGTACCTGTTGTTCTCGGCCATCTAACACGGCGCCTTTTGAGGAGTTCGCACATAATTATTGAAACATACCTATTATTTTCACGAATATTTTAGGTAGAAAGATTCAAAGCTCGTGTTTTGAAGGAGAATCTTAGCCGAACATGATGATATTCTATCATGTTTTCAAGATTAAATTTATAGAACATTAAATTGTCTTTGAAGACAAGTATATCGGTTCCGAGTTGCTTCCGAAGTAAGTTGGCCATTCTAATCGTCATAATTGACTATTTGACAATGGCCTTCCCTATGATGTTAAAGATGGAAAGTTGTATTTATTCGACGAAGTTACCGGCCGACTCAAGTTTTCTTCAATGGCCGTTTATTTTTCAGTTTAACATTTTTGGTCTGTCAAGCTTCATAATGCCCGACTGCTCAGTTCGAACTGTGCTAAATGACCAAATGACATTGCAGGATTGTTGCGTCGGCATTATACAGCGTCAAATCGGCGTATCACTCACTGACCATATAAGGTATATCTGACCATATTTAACGCATTAGATAATGTTGTTTGTTCTAAATTGAGGTATATATTTAGATAGCTTATAGTTTTAAAATCCACCCTTCGGCTTCATTCTACTAGCCCTTATAACAGCTGACTTATTCGATTCGAACAACACGAAGAAAATTTTTCCAATATGGCCGCCCTTGGTCAATCCCTATCCTTACCATTTATAAATGGGTCCTATATATCAGTGATTTCCAACATTTATTGTATCACAGACACATTTTTCATCCTAACCCTTTAATATTACATCCTAGTGGGCCATAGTCGGTCCACAAAAGTACACCATACCCCCATAGGGTTTTGAATGTTTTAATTAATAATCAAGGAACATGCAGATGATTTTGAGATTTTTTTAGTAAAATTTTTTATTGAAAACCATGAACTTTTGATTCGGTGTATCATATGTGCCTCAATCCTTCCTCCAAACGAAACAACCAAAATGGATAAGATTGTGCGCTTGTATATCTTGAATAACCCCGACCGCAAATTAATATTTTCAGTACAATGTTAACATATTACAGATTGCTCCATTATTGATTTTAAAGTAAAACAGAGCATGAGAGTAAAATAGGAAAAGCGTGTACGGAATCACATCTTTCAGGGGCCTTTTATTATACTGGAACTTGTTGTGACTTTGTGTTTGAATACTCGGAACGCGTTGAAATTATGTATAAAACACCTAAATACGTAATATTGCAATACGTAAATGTTCACGTTTTTGTGGAGTCAATATGGACACGCAGCCGACACGTGGATTTTGGACACGTGCGCAAATTAACAAAGTGCTTCCGATACTGATCGAAACCTAAAGTGCCAATACTCCGCTAAAAAAGCAACTTTGCTTTGAATATTCCACAACCAAGCTGCACCAGTAGTTCTCGGCCTTTTTTTTGCTCATGGCGCACTTAGCAAACAAAAAATATTCTGCGGCACACTTGTAACAAAATAAAGTTATTTAAACAAAATATTCTGCCAATGTTAATGCGATGTGTGTGTGTCTGTTTTGAGAGGCAATTGAAACGAGGTTTTGTCGCTCCCTTTTTTGTTTTTAATTTCAATCATAGTAGAAAATCACTCTTACTACAACGATAAGGCAAATGTATTTATAATACATGTCTAATACTAGATACTCAAGTCTCACAAGCCTTCCCGTTGCATGCATGCCTATGTGTAATACGAATAGCTTATTTTCTAAAATTTCAAAAAGCTCCGCGGCACACCTGAGAAGCTCTTGCGGCACACAGTGTGAGAAACGCTGGACGACACTGATAAAAAAAAAAACGTAATTTCTCGCAGACTTGGCAATAAATCCAATTCGCGTACCAGCGGGTCAACAACGTATTAGGATGTAACATGATCAAAAAAGGCGACCCCGGAAAATCTTCACGCAAGCCCATCCGGGGTTGCAACCCATAGTTTGGGGGAACCACTGCACTAAAGCATTCAGAATATGAACACGTTATATCAAGCATTGATTTATTGTATGTCGCTAGTAAAGTTTAATAGGATGAGTGCAATTGCTTGGCTTCCACCAGTTCATCTATTTTGAGGTTATATTTTGAGGGTCATTACAACTCTTGTATCATGTCTTATTACCATTCTATTTCGGATTTTATTTTTAATATCGAGTAGAGTGTCAGAGGCAAGCGCCAGAAAACAAGTATCGGAGGAGTTTTTTGTGTAAATCATGTTTTACTTCTTGTAGAAAATTGTTTATTTTTTACAAAAAATACTAAAACGTTTTTCAGCACTCTTTCGTATGAAAGCCATCACAGCAGTGCTTCTGTGTCGGTCGGTTAGTTCGCGGTCCTCCCAAAATCGCTTCGCGTACCTCTAGGCGACAGCGGACCCCACTTTGAGAACCAATGCCCTTTTAAGGTATAGGCCTTTGCACAAAACATTTCGGTATTCTGACCTTAATTTTGATATAAAACTGTATATTGCTGAAGTTTTATTAATATAACATATAATATAGTGAACATTCGACAATTTATCGTAACGTTAATTCCAAGATTCCAGCGTGTCGTCTGATGAGTGCTCATCTTTATTGGCTTCTGTTGCAGTTAATAAAGAATATCTGGAAAAATTGGAAAATTCCATTATCGTTACCATTTCCACGAGAAGTTTGTATTTTAAGCAATTTGAGTGATAAAACTTACGTTTACATTGTTTGCGATAGTCAGAGCAACAATTGTACTCTTTCTCACACCTATAGTGACATTGACATGTGTATTCGAAGTAGTCGTCTTTTTTTCCACAACGTCCTTTGCAGGAATCGTCACGAATTATTTCTAAAGTACAATAATATGATGTTATAAGCACAAACTTCTGGTTGCGGGATTTGTTCGTAGATATTTTAGCATTATGAACCTGATGCTGGGGATTGAGGGCCAACAACCGCGAAAAAGAAAAGCTTCTCGCTTATACGATATTTAAAATTAGCAGAACAGTCTGGACGTGAAAGACACAGTGTGGGTGTAACTGAGTTGCATAATTCCAAATTTTAGGCGTTTTGTTGCGGATGAATAACTACATAATAATAATAAATTGTATTGCTGAAGTTTTGTGTAGTTTGTAAACCGGATTACAGTGGGAAAAAGTTGCACACCCTTGATGAAACGTGAAACCTAAATCGATGTGTAACGAGAGTCTTATCATTGGCCATTTCGAGAGCACGCAACAGCAAACCAACCGCTGATATTTACTTAATGAATATACCTTTGCAAGTTGGGACGTGGCTCCATTCCCCATTGCCTAAGCATTGACCTTCATCCTCTCCATCCAGAGCATAGCCATCATTGCAGAAATATTCAATATATTCTTTTGCCAAGTAGAAATCTTTCTCATCTTCAACTCCACCATTTTCGATCTCAGGTGTATAGCACTTTCGAACTAGGACATATATATATACCCATGATCAGACACAATTCACATATAATAGAAGTTTGTGGTAAAAATGTGGTATGGTAATTTTTTATTAAGAACAATAATAAAATTTGTGTATTACGTCCATCTACGACCTTTAATACTTTGGAAGAACCCCATAAATCAATCCAGTAGATATTATTACATCTATATTATGTTACTTCAAAATTTTCATTTCTTACCGCAAATTGGAAATTCTGTATCCCAACTTCCGCCTTCTGAACATTTAGCTTTTTCCTCTCCGACAAGGTGGTAGTGTTTTTTCTCACACTCGAATTGTATTACTGTTCCTTGATCGTGATATTTAGCTTCAGGACTATAGGTGACGTATGGCGCCAACTTTTCCACTTGGCATTGTTTTAGGCAATTTTTTGCACTTGTCTTTTGAGTTACCACTGAGACTATACCCGCGTCGGCAGCTGAATTCGATCACTTGATTTACGAAGTATCGTTTTTGGGATGGAGTCACGTCACCGTTTTTCGGTGGTTTCCTGTAAGGACATGTTACTGCAAAAAAAATTAGTTAGCAGTTTTGTTCGAGTTTTTAAAACTTGCAATAAGCGACGGAAATAGTTATTATGAATTGTGTAATTAGGTGTTTTAGCATTGAGGTTAAAATATTCAGATATTCAACATTTGGAATTCGGAACAGGTGAGTCGGAACCTTTTGAAGGTTGTGGTGGTGGATGGCATTTGGCTGCTATTAATAAGCAAAATTCAAAACAATTATAAAACAACACTCCAATCAGTATGACTTGTACACAATACGCCATCGGCCGAAAAAATTCAATATAATTAATATTATATCTACCCGTTGTATTTGTAATTAGGTTGCAAACGATAAAGGAAATATATAAAAATGATTATATCATTGCTTTTAATAGAGAAACCAGAGGTAAAAATGTGACAAATAATACTTATGATGTGTAAATACACTCACTTTTGACGCATATTCCAAATGTTTCTAGTTTCCATCCGGAATAAGTACACTCGTATGAATTCGATTTTTCAGTCCATTCATAACCGATTTCACAGTGACATTTTACAACTGTTCCATATGAGATGAAACTCCTCGGCATGTAATCAACCATATCATCAGGTTCGCATGACCCATACGTGATCTTTGGAATCCGGCAACCTGCAAGCCGAAGTTTCGTGAATATAAAAAGCGCTTGGTCACAAGATAAATATCAAAATGAAATAGTCCAAATTCGGAAAAACTAATCGATATTAACTAATTCACCGCCATAATTCTTTATAGTTTCGGTAGCGGTTGGCACGTTTGTGAATGTCTGTAACTTTGCTCAGAGACTAGTATCCTTTACTTCTGAGTTATTGTACGTGAGTTGTCTTCGAGCAAATTTTCTTATGTTAATAAATTGCTATTTTTATTCAATAATATTTGTAGAGATATCAATGAGCTTAATTGATCGCTAATTATTTACTTATCGCTTTTTAGCTGCCCCCTTCTTGGCAGCTTGTGTCTCTAATTTTAGGGACTTCACTTCTCTCGTGTGTAGGCCCATGTTATTCTGACTTTTAAATATTTGTTTGAAAATTAATCAGATAAAATAAAACGGCAAATGCCGTGTACTTACCACCGGCAGCAAGGGATACGCCGATAATTGCCAGAAACACGGCGACGGATAATTTACTCATTTTCTTGTATTCTTTCAAACCGTGTGGAGGTAAGACGAAGATGTAAGGAAATGTGTCGTCAGTTGTAAATCCACGGTATTTAACGTTTTTCTGCCACCATTTTTTTTCCTCGAAAAAGTATCTGACATGGCCTGAAGTCAAAAATGATATCAGCAATTTTCACCTTTTTCTTTCGCTGATGTGTCATGCTTCAAGGTGACGTGATGTCTGTTCACAACTTTTTGTTTCCATATTTTGCAGCCAAATGCTGCCTGCCTGTTTAAACTAAAAAAAATCATTGAGTCATCATTTCATTGTGTCTGTTTACCAGTAAAAGCAACCTAAACATCTTACTATATTTTTCGTTTTGTATGCAATTAAATAAGTGGTTCTCAATCATTTTCGATGAATTCTTCCTTTTTCTATTTAGGAATTCTTTATTCCCCCCTATTCCCCAATATGCATAAAGAACTCTGTTTCTATTTTTTTATTCATATTTCAAGGTCTGTAACTAGTGCTACACTTTTGGCAATAATTTATCAATAAAACGTATTACCATAATGCTAAATAACTAAACAATAATTGTGAAACTACGCTAAATACAGTTTGTATTTCCTCCCAAGAACATCAAAATACTTCCTGGGGAGTAATTCCTTCCTGGTTGGGAAACTTTGAACTAAATAAATATTGGAATGTAATGACAAAACCGATATCCTTAGTATTCTTCTCTTCAAATATTTTTTAATTTTTAAATGATATTGAATATTAATTTTTAAGGAACTTGAATAAAATAATAAGCAATCTGAATTAGAATACAATCTAGAATGCGCTTACAAAATTAATAGGTAAATGCAAAAGTAAATTCAATCGCGATTTGTAGTTATAGTATTTTTGTGTTACATTGAAGTGATCAATATTATTTTTTAAGTTTAGCAATAGCAGATATTAAACCGAAAAATAAAAACCAGATGTAGCAATGTCCACATAGCTTATTTTTTGTAACGCCGTGGAGTAATGTCTTTGCTGGAACGATCGATTGTTTGCTGATTCGACGGAATTTGTTCCGTGTGGTAATACAAGATTACACAGAAATCGAAACCGCTAATAATAAAAATGTGATTTTGACCAAAGATTCCCGGTTGTGGGAACAACAATTCGTAATCCTGCGAAAGCCAATATAAATTAATAAAATAGGTATTAATAATTATATACTGAGAATAAAATTTGATTTTAGATTGCGAAATTCTTGAAACGAAGTCTTACGTTATTAAAAACTTACTCATCATTATACATTACTCATTATTATAATGAAACCAAAGACATCGAATTGTTTATATATATTATTGAAGTTTATCAAGGTTTTAAAACAAAAGCCATATTATTAAATGATTTTGCATGTGCCTATTGGCGTTAAATTTTATTTGAGTACATTTGACGTTCGGCCGATTAAGGTACAGTAGATGAAATGGGATTAAATTAAATCAGGAAGGCCCAAAGTTGCGAGGTTGAAGGGCCGCAAAAACTCTTGAAGATGTCTTGCGGTCCGCTGTCCTAAAAAAGCCAAAAAATGATCAAAACATCGCGAGTTTACTCATTTATTTAAGAATGAGAGTTTACCGTTTTAATCAGTTTTTCAAGGAAACTATATATAGCATGCTTTCCGATAATATCGTGGTATTTTCGGCATCTTTTCTCGTTTTTGGTTTTGTAATGTCATTTAAAATTATATTCTTTCGTGACAGATATTACTTGAAAACACACCAGATAATGTGGTTTCCGTTTTCTCCAGTGGTGGGATTCAACCGGTTCGCAGTGGTTCTATAGAACCGTCTCACGGAATTTTATGAGATCAGCGAACCGGATATCATTACTGGTTACTGTCAATGTTCTGTTAGTAACACGACCGCCTAAAAATATGACTTTTGTGAAGGAACCGGCTGACAGAAAATTTGAATTCCACCACTGGTTTTCTCCCAGTTTATCTCGGTCACCTTTTTTCTACACTCATTGTATGAAGAATTGTTATATATTTGAAAAATTGTAGGCTCACAGAACCGCCACAAATAATTTTTATTCATTTTGATGAGGTCACCACACCAAATTTCGAAGTGGAAACGAATCACATAGTGCCCACAGAGAGTTTTGAAATAATAAGATGTTATATCCTCAAATGTAAATACAATCTTTACCAATGAAAATCAAAGCAATGGATCTAGTAGTTAATCAGGAAATCGATTTCTTTTTTCATACATACGGTAACAACAATAAAAACCCTATAGACTTACATCATTTCCATGAGCTTATTATCGGATCAAAATTTTGTGATATAATTGTCCCCCACGGGATTCAAACCAGTACAAAACTCTTAGTTCAGGCCAATGGGCGTCAACCAATTTTCTTAATCGGACAGAATCGTCGGATGAAGATCCGATTTTGTTTCAAACAAGTAGCAACGCCCAAAACAACTTTTCAAGCTTTTAGGTTTGTTGTTTACTTGTTAGCTTCGTTTGTTTACTAAAAATAACCACAGCTAATCTCAATTTAGATGCTAATATTGGGATTTGCATTTTGGCACAGACATCCTTACATAACTTATATATATATGATTGTTTTTGTACTCTTTGTACCAAAATCATTTACAAATAAGCTTCGGCCTTGAATTTCATTTTCTTCTGTTCATGTATGCTGTTTTTTTTTATTTATTCTTAAATGGATAATTTTCGTTTCAGTAAGATTTGAGTGCTGTGTTCTTCCACTAGTATGCGTGTGGGTGAATGGGCATAAACGCTGCTCACGGCGTTTGCTATAAACCTTTCTCTAGGTTTTTTTCATTTTCCCGATCTTTTCGTCGTCATTGTCTGTGTTCTTTATTTATTTTTATTCGTGTTCTTATTATTCTTATTCGCTTCTTATTCTTAATATATTATATTATTCTTATTCGTGTTCTTATTTTTATTCGTGTTGCTACTTCAAAGCAAAAATACACATTAATAAACCTTTTAAACGTGTACAGACAGATTCACTATTCAGGAAAATATCAGTCCAACAAATAGATTTTATTACTTGTCTTATTCTATATACGTGAGACTTCTGCATTACAGTTGATAGAGATTTTACGTTGGGTTTACACTTTGTAACTTTCAAAGAATGACACGAACTACCGGCTTCATATTTTGGGCTACCTCTTTCGACCTAAAGTTCACAACTGAGAACATAAATTCACAAGCATATGCAGATGAAAATACATTGAGAGTAATGCAGTCGCAAGTTTTAAGACACGAAGAATTCTTGGTAATGGCATCCCATCACACAATAGGTCGTTGTCAGCACTTCTCTATTGTATTCCCTTCCCTAATCGCTTAAGTGTATTTCTTTCGAAATCAATTGATAATGGTACGTTAGCAAGTGCAACTCTATCCAAAATGAACTGCACAACTTCAAGAAAAAAGATGGCCCAGACGAACTATATTACGTAATATTGTACCTAAATGAATGCCGCGCCCTTCTCGACAAACAATTTCGAGAGCTCACCCATTTGTTACGTCATCATATATTTGTTTGTCACATGTCACGAAAGGACGACAAGAGATTTTAAAAGAATAACGGATTGTTTACAAACGATTATGGATAAATGAACATCTAGTGTCATCAGATAGTCCAATGTTTTGAAATTTCCTATCTGATGGAGAATGATCTCGTTTCCGAAGCCTCGCTGGCGTGCCAAATAAATGGGCTCGTTGGTAGGCTAGTTGCCCACCCCTGTACTAGGCTAAATGTTGCTATCAGTAATTGTAAGCGGCACGTTGCTGAATATTTTAATAAAAAAATGGTTTTAACATGTAAAGTTTATGAGCACCAATTCTCTAAAACACTCTCGAAATAAGTATTAATCATTTTGCATTATAGTAGGCTACGTAAAGTATAGCCTATACTCCAACTCAGAATATGTCGCGGGCCACTTTTTGAAATTTTTTGACGACACGGGCCACAAACTAACAAAGTATATACAAAATTGTAATAAAAAAATTAACAAAGTAAATCTGAATATATTTGTTGAAATTACCCTTGAATCTTACACCAAGCGAGACATGAAACATATTCGTTTACTTGTGTTGGATATTTGGCACCGTTTTGTAGCGGTGAGAGACTCGATGTTCGGCCTTATTTTGCGTTGGTTTGTTTGCTGGTCTTCAGACAGCATAGACAGCATTTTGTTTTACAGTCTGTTGTACTGGACTCTTGATGTTAAATAACACGATAAAACTCATAGTTGACATCATACTATTTTAATTTTTCCTGGAAAAATCTCAATCACTATGCAGGCCGCAATAAAATGTTTTTAAAACATCAACAGTCGGTATAAAACTTGATTTCTCACCTCTCAAGTGCTTCCAATGCTACTTTCTTTCAACTCCGGTATAACTTATCATTGTTTCCCAGGTTCTTGTCGACTCTATGAATTTAGACCAACTTACATCAGTGA